TCCATATTTCAATGCCTTCATTTGCGTATTTCAATAAGCAGGCCTCTTTGCCTAGCGAATATAGTAAAGATAGCAGTTAAATCATGAGTTATATAATTAAGCACTTCAATCAGTTGGAAGTTTGGAATTTCAAAGCAAGAGGCTAATTTGCCTATTTAATAGAGTTTCTAGCTTTATTCAGTTTATTCAGTTCAGTTTCTGATGGCAGCAAATGTGCAGCCCTGATTTCATATCAAATAGATTTCCTGACCCTAAATAGGTCTAGTTGAATGTAGACCCCATTGAGTTTGGGCAATTAAAATAACAGCTTTTGATGGATAAGATGCTGAAGCTACCAAGATAGCAATTTGCATTTACTTAGAATTTTAATAGGGATTTTGCTTTGGAATGATTCTTTTAACGAGTTACCTGTTTGAACGTGTGTGGGTGCTTGAGAGAACATATAATGACATAAAATGGGACTGACAGGAGGAATATAAAAAGCTAATTATTAAGCAATAACAACCACATATTATTGCATCTTTGGTTAAATTCCAAAACCCTTTTTTAATGTTTTTTTTTTTACTGTATCTGTAAATCCAGTGCTTATGTTTTAATAGGAACATTTGGCTATTCATAAGCTATACAATGTGCAGTTTGTGAAATGCAGGAGTGTTTAGTGTTCTAAAATACAGGTAATCCTCATCTTATAAACCACAATTGAGCCCAAAATTTATGTTGTTCAGTGAGAAATTTGTTGCGTGACTTTTGCTCCATTTTACAATTCTTCTCACACCCTTTGTTAAGTGAATCACTGCAGTTCTTAAATGAGTAACACGATCGTTAAGAGAATCTGGCTTCCCCATTGACTTTCTTTTATCAAAAGGGATCACGTGACTCGGGACACTGCAACCGTCACAAATGTGAGTCAGTTGTTGAGCATCCGATTGTAAATCACGTAACCACGGGGCTGCTGCAAAGGTCATAAGTATGAAAAACGGTCATGTCACTTTTCCCCCCAGTGCTGTTGTAACTTTGAACGGTTGCTAAATGAACTGTTGTAAGTCGAGAGCTATCTGTACGCTCCCTTCCTCGGGCCCTGCGTTTCATAGACAAAATGGCTTGTAGTCACTCCAGCAAAGAATGTGCTGGAAGTCCATTGGACAAAGCACTTATAAGCTACCACAGCATATCAAGGCCAGGATGGTATGCTTGAAAATGATTGACAGTCAGTGAACAGAAGGAATGAAAAGAACACTTTGCAGAAAGAAGAGTGGAGGGGTAAGGAAGGTGGGAAATGAAACATTCTTAAGAACAGTGAATCATAGATATAAAAAGAGAAAGCCTAGCAAACAATACACCCACCATCTACCATGAGTACCATTTTATCTCCCGAGTACACACTTTGAGAAATTATGTAAGAATTTAAAAGGTCCTTACTTATTATGGGGGGGAAAGCAGATAGCTGAAACATCACATCAGAGAGAAAAGGGATCTTTCCCTCTTTCCTTTTCCTTTTCTTTTTCCTTTTCCTTTCTTTTTCCTCATGCTGATTATATGAATGCAGGTAGTCCTTGACTTAAAACAGGTCACTTAACCATTCAAACTTGCAACGGATTCGAAAAACGTTACTTACGACTCTTCTTTGAAATTATATGAGTGCTGCATATCCCCTGTGGTCACACGGTTGCATTTTGGGTGCTCAGCAACAAGCATGCCTTTATGAATGGTTGCTATGCCCCATGGTGTTGGGGCCCGCCAGCAGAGCTGGCAGCAGATTCGGACAGTGAGGAGGTTGGGGAGGAACATGGGACAGTCCTGGAGTCTGGGGAAGGCTCGGATGAGGGCTCTGGCACGACCGTCTGATAGTTATCAGCTGCCTTCAGAGTCAGACATCAGTGAGGCAGATGAACAGTTGGAGCCTGTTCCCAGTGGACGCATGCGCAGAGTTGCCAGATGAAGGGAGCAGCTAAAGAACAGGGTTCGACTTGGGAGTAAGGCCACAGGTGGACAATGAACGGCCCCTCCCAGAGGAAATAAAAGAGGAGCGAAAGGGGAGTGGAGTTTCCAGGAGGCAATTAGTTTGTTAATTGGTTTGTGACTCTCCAAGACTCCTTGCCAAGTTTTGCAGAGATCAGCCTGGCAGCTCTCCAAGCCAGATGAGGTCTGTGACTGTAAATCCTCCCTTGAAAGACTTTGCTGGATATGAATGAGCAGAATTCAGTCAATTAATAAAAGGGTTTTTTTGTCAGGACAAGAAGTTTGCTTCAGACTCTTGGGAAGCCTCGGTCAGAACTCATGGACACATGATCACATTTTGCAATCCCCACCCACCCATTTTCCGACAACCCCCCCCCACTCATTGGATATAATGGATTCATATTTATGACCATGTGGCCTGTCCCTTTCCTATTATTTCTTCAGTCTTTTTGTTTCCACTTCTCAAGTTTTAAAAGGGTTATGTACATGTACATATTACCATTTCTTTTGTTTCTGAATTGGTGTCTGCTTGGTTTTATTCTGTAATTAAAACAATACAGTAGATTGATGGTCCTCTCTGGCAACCAAGAATTCCACCTTGCTCTGCGTAACATCTAGATTTGAGCAGCCGTTCATCTAGCTTATTGTTTTGTTTCTAAATGTCTAAATACTTGGGTTTAGTCAAATAAGAGTGCCAGATTAACCTCCCTGGAGTCTTAAAAATAAAATAGCGAAGAAGGAAAGTGAAAAGGGGAAGAAAAAGGCATTTTCCGGCACCAGATTTTAACATAGTTGTCATCCGTTTCTAATGCTGTGATGGCAATGGGTTTCTTAGGAAGTCCTGACTAATCTCTTAGAGCACAGTGTTGTTCCATACAACATAGCTTGTGCCAGCTTATTTTAAGTAGCTACTTATGTTAAGACAATGTTCAATGAAGTCATCTAGCTACCTGAAGTTACTAGGACAATTAATATTATGCAAAGCATTCTGGAAACAACACTTTTGTGTTATTGTACTTTTCTGGCTATAGCTGTGCCCCTTTTTCCTAAGCTGCATTCTTTCAAACAGATTCCTAACCGCGGCCTTATAACTAACCGCGGCCTTATAACCAACATGGATTGTTTTTAATTAGTCACAATTTAGCAAAAGCCAAGAACTCAGTGTTCTGTCAAGGCTGAATTATCTGTATTATGTTTATAGGAGGTCCTTTGACTGGATGGAAGAGGAAGTTTGCTGACAAAACTGCTAAAGGAAAATTATAGTACTGATGTTCCGTAGATACATATGTTATCATTCACCAAGAGATGATAATTAAACACAATTTATTTTCAGCTGCGCTATTTGACTCTTTGTGAATTGTTGGTTATTTTTATTATAAAATAGAAGAAGATGCATGTTGCACATTGGACTAATCTAAAGTAATCTGCTAACAGGATCCACATAACACAATCTACTTGTTTTTAGGATAGTTTATTAACTATCCTTACCTTTGATTGTATATCATGATTGATAATGCATTCTTCCAGCCAACTATGTCTTAATCAGACTATGGTTTAGTGCAAAGAAACAAACCATTCACTTACTGGAAGGTGTGTTTAACAGATGAAGTCCATGTGAAAGAATAATTTTAATGAACTGATTTGAGGAAATAAACCACATGTTATTAAAAGATAATAAGTTCATCACAGAAGTGAATTCTCCTAACTATTAAGGTTGTATAAGCCCCAAGGAACTGAAACCCATAGCCACAAAAATGGAGTTTGGGGGATAGAGTTTGTCCACAAGGCAGAGGACATGGGCTAGCGTCCACAGGATGTGATTTTAGTCATAAAAATGAGCAGAGCATTTTCGGAGCAAGAAACTCTTTTTAAGTGGCTGAGATGGTTTGAGCTGGAGAAACAGAATTTACAGCCATGTACAATCTGCATACAAGAGTAGAAAAATAGAATAGAATAGAATAGAATAGAATTCTTTATTGGTCAAGTGTGATTGGACACACAAGGAATTTGTCTTTGGGGCATATTCTCTCAGTGTACATAAATAAAATAGAATACATTCATCAAGAATCATAAAATGCAACACTTAGTGATAGTCAACATTACTAATAAGCTATCAAATCGTACTAGGAAACAAACAAAACAATATAAATTGAAAGATACAAGCAACATGGTTATAGTCATAAGTGGGAAGAGATAGATACTAGGAAAGAAAAAGAATAGTAATATATTCTTGGTAAATTATTTGACAGTGTTGTGGGAATTAGTTGTTAAGCAGAGTGATGGCATTCGGGGTGGAGGGGAAACTGTCCTTGTCTAGTTGTTCTGGTGTGCAGTGCCCTATAGCATCGTTTTGAAAGTAGGAGTTGAAACTATTTATGTCCAGGAGGCGAGGGGTCTGTATATATTTTCACAGCCCCTTTTTTGACTTGTGCAGTATACAGGTCCTCCATGGAAGGCAGGTTGGTAGCCATTGTTTTTTCTGCAGTTCTAATTCTCCATTGAAGTCCGTGTCTGTCTTGTTGGGTTGCAGAGCCAAACCAGACTGTTATGGAGGTGTAGATGATAGACTCAATAATTCCTCTATAGAACTGAATCAGCAGCTCCTTGGGCAGTTTGAGCTTTCTCAGTTGGCACAGAAAGAACATTCTTTGTGCTTTTTTGATAATGTTTTTGATGTTAGGTGTCCATTTTAAGTCTTGAGATATGATAGAACCTAGAAATTGAAGGTCTCTACGGTTGATACTGTGTTGTTTAGTACTGTAAGAAGTGGTAGTGTAGGACCTTCTAAAATCTTCCACAATTTCTACGGTTTTGAGTGTATTTAGTTCACGATTGTTCTGGTTGCACCACAAGGCTAGTGGTTCAACCTCCCATTACATACATTAAATACATGGTGCCAGCCATGAAGAGTGCTGACTCTTAAACTGAAGAGATTCTCCTGGATGTGGCTGAAGTAGCGAATATTTGCAATTATTTTTTGTGAACAGCTCTGTCAATACACTTCCAATAAGTCATTTTCTGTTGTCACTATCTCTAGTTGCTAGACCACAATGGAACACAAGGGGACAGTGGACACGGAAGATGATTTGGCATTATTACCACGCCTTGCGCCCAGTCCTCACAGTGAAGCAGTGGCCCACGAATTTCAAGAACTCTCTTTGCAACCAAACCAATATTTGCCTCCTCTCAATGAAAGGAAGAATGGTAAGTATGCCACAGGGCTGATGCCATGCTTAATATTTTTTTATCTAAGTCAGCCATTCTTTGGGTTTATGCCCATTTACAAGACCAATGACTGAATGTTCTGTAATGTTGCAAAAACAGGTCGCATTATTCTGTCATAAGAATAGGTGGATTTCCAGATGCAGCGATCCTCCAGTGCTTATAAAAGGTAAAGGTTCCCCTTGCACATATGTGCTAGTCGTCCCTGGCTCTAGGAGGCGGTGCTCATCTCCATTTCAAAGGTGAAGAGCCAGCGCTGTCCGAAGACATCTCTCTGGTCATGTGGCCGGCATGACTAAATGCCGGAGGTGCACGGAACGCTGTTACCTTCCCACCAAAGGTGGTTCCTATTTTTCTACTTGCATTTTTACATGCTTACGAACTGCTAGGTTGGCAGAAGATGGGACAAGTATCGGGAGCTCACTCCGTTACCTGGCATTAGGGATTCGAACTGCCAAACTGCTGACTTTTCTGATCGACAAGCTCAGCATCTTAGCCACTGAGCCACCACGTCCCTCCCAGTGCTTATATAATGTACTAATTACTTATGAAGGCAATGCTCTAATGAACGTTCCCTATATTTGAATATCTAGTTTTGGAATGTTCATTTCGTTGGTCATTTATAGAACTTAACGGATGTTTGTTTTCATGTCTTCCTTCACTGTTTGTTTTGGCAAGAAAAACAGGAGGTTTAATCAGGGCATGTCTAGTCTGAAAACTGAACATGTTTCCATTTGGTGTGGTCTTCATTCTTCACATCTGTTTGGGAAAACACACACTTGCCTATGTGATCTTTTACTGCTGCATGCTTATCTGGTGATTTCCCACATCTTTTTAACAGCTGTTTTATCCTGCAATATCAAGATTTATCTTGGAAATCTCCATGGAGTCAGATCTTTAAACTTTGCCTATTCCTAATAGTGAATTAGCGACGCAGTGGCTCAGTGACTAAGACGCTGAGCTTGTCGTTCAGAAGATCAGCAGTTCGGCGGTTTGAATCCTTAATGCCACATAACGGAGTGAGCTCCCGTGACTTGTCCTAATTTCTGTCATCCTAGCAGTTTGAAAACACTTAAAAATGCAAGTAGAAAAATAGGAACCACCTTTGGTGGGAAGGGAACAGCGTTCTGTGCGCCTTCGGCTTTTAGTCATGCCAGCCACATGACCATGGAGATGTCTTCGGACAGCGCTGGCTCTTCAGCTTTGAAGCGGAAATGAGCATCGCCCCCTAGAGTCAGGAACGATTAGCCCATATGTGCGAGGGGAACCTTTACCGTTACCTTAATGGTGAATTTAATTCTGCTTCTTTAGCTACCTTTTTAATGTATTGTCATGGAGGTACATGTTCAGGGAATTGGAAATGATGTGTTAAAGAGGAGTAATAAACCTCTGCTTCTTGTAGCAGCACAACAATGGTGAGACAGTTGTCTGTGCCAGTGTAACTCATGCTTTCATAAAAGTCAGATAGCAGTAGTGCATGTGATGCTAGTAACTGTTTTAGACTGTGGGACCGTGATTTCATTTATGTCCCATTGAAAACATCTTTAATGCAGTGCTCATTCAGGCAGTTATCTTCATCTTCTCAGATAACGCCAAAGGTAATATTCTAGAGCCTGTTTTTAGAATCACAGGAGTCAATATTTACTTGAGAATGAACCTTTAAAACAATAGTCCCACGTAGCTTATTGGGAAGTCTTAACTAAGCGGAGGGAACCAATTTGCTTACAACGACAGTATTTCTAATATTCCTTGGCTTTGTCCTCTTCCAGCCTAGGGAAGTTGTCTTTGCTCAAAGAAGTTCTAACAAGTCCATTCAGATCTTGAAAATATTTGCTTAGCATGTAGCATGTTTAATTGGCAATGGATCCTGAATGCTCTGGATTTCTTCCAATGAGCTTTTCATCCTAGTTTTCAAGCAGGTTTTATTATAATCTCTTTTGCAGCCTGAAATGGATTATTCATCCTTGGCTTGTTGTGACTTGATTTTTCATTTCATATTAAGAATCAACGGTCTATTATTGGTGTGTGTGTGTGTGTCAATCCCCCCCCCCAAAAAAAAACAAACCCCAAAGCCATTCTTCATGATGTTGGCAGAATTGCTTGTGTACAAAAAATGTGATGAAAAACTGCAGGTCAAACGGTGATAGGTTCCCAATTTTTTTAAACAAACAGTTTTTTATACTCAGTGTTTACTTCTTCCATTTCAGTCTTTCTAGTTGTCTGAAAATCTATTCTGACAAGAATCTCTTTATGTCTTAAAAATACAGTAGCATCGGATGGAACTGCAGTAATTGTCAGGGCTCCAAGTAACACCCCCAACGGCTTCCAGATCTGACAAATATATTGTGCGAAGCCCAGCAGGAAAAAAAATAAATGTTGGTCCTGATTTGAATACGTAAATTATTATTGCAACAACTCCTTGGTCAGCTCTGTCTTTTATGGAGGTTGATCCAATGTATTTTCCCCCAGTGCTGCCTTAGTTTGAAATACAGAGTGTGAAAACAATGTTGTATATCTTGTCAATGGGAATTCATTGTGTCATGAGGCATTGCCTTGTTTTTGTCATAAAAACACAGGCTTAAAGTTCATTTATCTTCTCAGTATGAACTTAGGAAATTCAGTAGGTTAAATTATCCAGAGTCCATAGGGAATTTTGCACAAATTAGAAGTGGTCTAAAAGGAAGTATGACATTTTCTGGCCTATGAGCTAGTTGTTGTTTTATATAGTTGAACACAAATCAACTGTTGGCGACGCCCGTCTTCCAAAAATATAATTCCTCCAAAGTCTTTAATCAAAAAGCTTTTAGTACTGATCCGAGATTTTGCTTTTGAAAGTGGCTTTGCTTACAGTTAGTCTTCAAATTCTTTATACTCTCCAGCTTTTATTTTAAAAATCAATGTTTTTAACCTTTATAATCCCAAGTCCACGGAGATGCAGTTCTTCCCATGGTCTTTAAATGAGGAAAACATAAATTGTCGCAAATAAATTGATGACCTGATATGCAAGGCTACCTTTTAAATCCAGTTCTGTCATTTTTAAAGTTTTAATATTTTAATTATTGTTATTTAAGCCATTTTTTTTATCAATGCTGCTCCATGATATAAATACAAAATCGCAATATGTAGTGAAATTCACTGTAAATTAAATTCACTTGGGGGGGGGTTGTGGGGGGGGTTGTCCAGTATGGTAAAAATCGAGGGGGAGGAAACTGTGACACGTGAATCATTTTGCCAACTCGTGTCTTTTATCTAAGCAGTGACGTCTCTTAGCTTATAAGGAATGAGGAGGCAGATCTTGTGTGTGCTATTTCCCATTTAGCCTGTCATTGTCCTCAGGACTGCCAGTTCCCACAATTCCAGCATTCCCTAGGCATCTGTCAGTGTCTGCAAGGAACAAATTTCAGATATTAAAGCATGTGAAAAGACCCACAGGCCAAGCTCCAGTGGTCTCCAGAGAACTGACCTCTAAAATCAGCTCTCTGCTGACATTTTCACAGGCTTCTTAAAGGAATTTCTGTAGAGTCATTCCTTTTGGTAAACACTTAAGCTAAAATCTCTTGTCACTTTTAGTGAGATTTATTAAGGACTCTGTACCCCTGCTTTAACAAAGTAACCAGAAATGCAATTTGTTGTTGTTAGTTGCGAAGTCGTGTCCGACCCATTGTGACCCCATGGACAACGTTCCTCCAGGCCTTCCTGTCCTCTACCATCCTCCGAGAGTCCATTCAAGCTTCCACCGACTGCTTCGGTGACTCCATCCAGTCACCTCATTCTCTGTCGCCCCCTTCTTCCTTTGCCCTCAATCTTTCCCAGCATGAGGCTCTTCTCCAGGGAGTCCTTCCTTCTCATTAGGTGGCCAAAGTCTTTGAGTTTCCTCTTCAGGATCTGACCTTCTAAAGAGCCATAATCTAATCTAAAAATTAGATTAGAGCTCTCTAATTTAATAGAGAGTTTCTTTTAGCTGGCTTTTCACCAGCTAAATTTTTAATGCAGGTAATCCGTGATGTACGCCAACAATTGAACCCAAATTTTCTGCTGCTGAGCGACACATTTGCTAAGGGAGTGTCTTGCCCTATTCTACGACCTTTCTTGCCATCGTCAAAAGGTCGCAAAAGTGGATCACGTGACCCCGGGAAACTGCAACTATCATAAAAATGAGTCAGTTGCCAAGTATCTGAATTTTGATCACGTGACCTTGGGGAATGTTGCAATGGTCATAAGTGTGAAAAACGGCCGTAAGTCACTTTTTTCAGTGCTGTTGTAACTTTGAAGGGTCATTAAATGAACGGTCGCTAAACGAACTGTCAGGGACCACCTGGACTCAGGGCAAATGTTTCACAATCTCTTTGAAGCAATTGACCATGCAGAAAGCAATTGATCATGGGGATCCTGCAATGGTGTGAAAAATGATCATAAGTGAGTCATATGATGAGCTGTGGTTAGAATGCACTACTGC